ATCACAAAAGACAGTGAAAATAAAATTGAATTAACAGAAAAGTGGTTTCTTAGGAGACTGCTACGAGTATCGTGGAAGGAAAAGAAATCAAATGAGGTAGTACTTGAAGAAGCTCAGGTGGAACGCTCACTTTTAAAAACAACCAGGAAACGACAAATGCAATTTTTGGGACACCTGAATTGGCATAAGGGTCTTGATCATCTAGCTCTCACTTGAAAAATTTAAGCAAACGAGGTAGGGATAGGCCCAGAGCAACCTACGTAGGGACCCTAAACAAAATATAGGTAACAGTAACCCGGAAAGACCAAGGAAATAATTATAGCTTTGTAAGAGCATCCGAGTGAAGGAATGAATGGAGAACCAGGATCGCCGATGTCTGTCGCAGATCTGGCTCTGGTCCTTGATGATGATGATCGTCGGAAGCTCGACTCCTAAATGATTTAGATCTAAATTATGTCGGGGGAGGAGGGGGCGGAGCTCTAAGTTTTTAACTAAAAAGTGTAACGACACCCAGTTTAATCCTGTGGCTAGGTCTTTCCCACTCCCCAATGAGATTCACGTTCCGTTATTTATTCTCTCACAATGCACAAAGTTAACGCTCAGAGATGTTACGAACGCATGAGCATCCCCTAATGTAAATGCCTTGCGGGTTGCTTTTCCATCTCTAAAATTATCTCCCCATTTGCGTTCTTACTTTCCAAGACGCTCAGAATAAAACCCCTTTGTTTACATTTCGTGTGCATGACCCTGACCTTTCTGAGCACGAGACATCGCAAGGCTTGCTCATTGAAAGTTAGGTCTACATATTGCGCGCTTGTGAATAATTAACGTGCTAATGAACAGTGCATACTTCAGAACAGAATCACTTTCACACAGATGTCCACCCCCCCCCCCTTTACCTTTTGTATAACACCTACACACGAAGACACGCATACACTCACCCGAAACACACACACACACACACACACACACACACACACACACGCACAAACACGCACACACACACACACACACACACTCACAAATGATAGGGGGCTCTCGTGGCCTAGAGGTTAAGGTCTTCGCCTCTCATTCAAAGGTCCCAGGTTCGAATCTGGGTAGCGACACACTCACACACACACACACACACACACACACACACACACACACACACATTCACACACACACACATACACACACAGACACAGACACCGAAATCCCAGTGACAATATAGACACCCATTAACTCACAGGAGCAAGTATATTCCCAAACTCACGGCTACACGAACTGACAGTGAGTGAAACATGTATAGAGGAGAGTGATACATAGGGAATAAGATTGGTTGATAGATAGATATATAGAGAGGGGGGAGGGCTTAGAATTAATAATTTTTAAAATCCCTTCGCAAACACTATAAAGGCTATAGAATATTGTTTGAGCTGTGCCTGTGTATTCGTTAATTTAGTTTCTGAACATGAAAGAGTATCTGACATAGTGCGAATGAACTCACAAAATTTATCCCTCCTCACCGCCCTAATGATTAGAAAAGTGTGAACACTTAACGAGGCCTAAATGAAAAAAAGCAAAAATGAAAAGCAACCAAGATCAAAACCATGTCAAAACACGAAAAAAAAGAAGAAAAAAATCCGACAAGGTCATGCTGCTGAGTTCCGGCAGTAAACTGTTCACGTGTGTGGCAGCGTAGTGTGGCAAGATGTGCTCTGTTTGAATCTAAGGCCTTCTTGATTACAAACAAGTTAGGATGGCAGGAGGAAGAACCTCACACCGTTCGTTAGATAGAACTGAATAGGTTTAAATTCGTCCATTACAATGTGTATTTGCAAGCCTTATATACCTAGGCCTATATCTTTCATCTTTTAATTTTTTTTAATTTTTGTTTTTTTTTTGTTCTGAAGGGCATCGGAATGTAGAATTCTTGCAATAATATTCATGAACCTGAACATTATTATATTTGTAATTCTACGACTTTGAACTATTTGGCATACTGGCGTCAAACTTGAGCTTGCTCACTACCTCCGACACAAAGGCGGATCGGCGTTGGTAAAGAAGGGTACCGATGCCACCAGAGACCGACAGTTTTGGTTCACAACCTCCTATGCAAGTAATATGCAAGTAATAATAATAATAATAATAATAATAATAATAATAATAATAATAATAACAATAATAATAATAAAATAATAATAATAATAATATGTACATTTGACGATTTATACATAAACTATAATAAGTTATTATGTGTCCTTTTTTAAATAGGTAAAAGAGCCTTTACTAGAAATGCAATGAGTGAATACATTTCTTTGTTTTGTTTGTTTGTTTGTTTGTTGGTTGGTTTTTACCCCCACTTGAGCTGTTTTTTGCCAAGTGTCTTTAACTTTCAGTATACGAAAGGCTCGTTCAGCTGGCTCAGGGTATCTCTGGGTTATTTACAGTCACAAAAAAAACAGGTCTCTGCAAATCAGCGTTCTATATTACAACTGTATGTTTTCTGCGTGGATGTTTCATTTCCACTTAATTTGATGTTGATAATTCTGTGGAACTAAGGTCATTGATAGGAACTCAGTTAAAGGGAAGTTTGTGATGCTGATCAAACATGAATGATTAATTGTCTGTCTACAAAAGATGTCTTCCGTCTATTATGACGTATTATATAGTTATTAATAAAACTGAAGATATCCATAAAACTGTAGTTCTTATGTTCTAATATTGTGCTATGACTGGAGTATAGTATAAGAAATTACCTCAAACTTGAGCTTGCTCACTACCTCCGACACAAAGGCCGGATCGGCGTTGGTAAAGAAGGGCACCGATGCCACCAGAGAGCGACAGTTGTGGTTCACAACCTCCTGTAGAGTCAATACAGCATGAGCAATTACTATTAAAAGGTATATTATAGTGTGTTCATTGAAGAGTAAACAGCATGGCTTAAAAAAAAGAGAGAGAGAGAGAGAGAGAGAGAGAGACAGACAGACAGACAGACAGACAGACAGACAGACAGACAGACAGACAGACAGATAGAGAGAGACAGAGAAAGAGAGAGAGACAGAGAGAGAGAAAGAGTGAGAGAGAGACAGAGATAGAGAGAGAGTGAGAGAGAGAGAGAGAGAGAGAGAGAGAGAGAGAGAGGGAAAGAGAAAGAGAGAGAGAGAGAGAGAGAGAGAGAGAGAGAGAGAGAGAGAGAGAGAGGGAAAGAGAAAGAGAGGGAGCAGATGATCGGTATACACATGAGTTAAGGTGAACTAGGTACAGCTGAAATGAAAATTTTTGTTTGGGCTCTAAATTAAGTGTACTGGGATTCCTAATAACCAGTATGGGTCAAGAAACAGAAACACACTATCCCTATATGATTTCACTGTCAATTTTTTGAATTTTTTTTAGATGCAAAGGGTTCGACAGACCAAAAATTCGCGCAAATTTGTTGGCAGGGATTCTGAAAAAGATTTGAATTGATACAGCCTTTGATATTGTCACACAGAGTTTGTGTATATACAGCCCTGCGACGTACTAAAGATTTACTTTCCTAAGTCTCATACATTTCTTGTAACTGCCCCTTTTAGTTGTCATATACGATACTTGGGACAAAAAACATGATTCACAAATCAGAAGTTATACTGCCAAGTCTTTTTTTATCACTGGACGGAAGACTTATTACAATTATCACAATAATCTTTTAGTACGTGCAAACATATATCTAGAAACAGTCATGCAAAGTTGGATTCCGCTGCGACGAGTACTTTTAGAAATATCTCTGCCAAGGTGACCCACCCCCCTAAGAAAATCATAGTTTTAGAAAACTTTAAAAAACACGAATTCATACCATTCTATTACCACACAATGTTAAAATACATGGCATATGTGAGCACTTTATAGATGTTTTGGACACTTGAAAATATTTCCAATCGATAAAGCAGATGTTGCTCTACTAAAATAGTCCAAAATCGAAAAATCGGTTTTGGATACCAAAATCGACTTTTTAGGCTGCCGTGGTGTACCTTAATTATACAAACTATCTCTCAATCATTATCTAAAATACACACTCCTCCTCCTTCTTCTTGTGCTCTACCTCCTCGTTTTCCTCTTTCTCTTCCATCTTTCTTCTGTTTTTCCCACACTTTCCCTTAGTAGATCAAACACAAAATATAGATGACAGGACATGGGCTAAATAAGATCAATACAACCAATTAATAGGGTCCATAAATATTTAGATAATTGAAAGACAGTCTGTCTAATACAGATATAGAAAAATGAATCAGTAGACGGATAGATTGCTAGACGTGCAGACAGCTTGCCTACTAGGTATGTGCAGTGACACACGGGAGACCAGTTTATCGTTCAACTTTAAGACTACAGAGAACACACCCTATTAGCGGGCAGCATCTGTGAAGAAAGTTAAATGTCGAAAGATGTTAAAGCCTCCGCCACCATTATCTCATTAAATCAGCCATCAAAGAGCTCCGGCCTTCACAGGACCCCCTGATTTCCCCTTGTTAAGAACACTTTATGGCATCTATGGCCCAGATGCCTGCCTGCATCCTTTTATTGCCCCCTTTCCCCTCACGAAAGAGGAAGTGGAAAGGGGGGTGGGGTGGGGGCGGTAGGGGCAGGGGGATAGCGTGGTAGTGTTGTTAAGACTTGCTACGTATTCTGGTGGGAGAAGGTTCGATATCTTCAGAATACTACGTTTGTCGTTTACATGTAGGCTTACAATGATTTCAGGACACGTTGAAACCATCTAAGTCCAGGTGTGCACACGGACCTAATGTCGTTTAAAATTATAATTGGGGAATGGGTATTACAATAATATGTGCTCCCGATAACCGGAATTATAAACGAAACAATAACGTGAAGCATACGTGTTTGAGACACTCGTTGAGCTCGGAGAGTATCGTCTCTTCGTCAAACATTTTGCCTTGGTATCGATGCTCGTAGTAGTCCGTTATCCTCTGACGTAGACTCCGGGGTAACTTCCGGTATACCATGTACTCCTCCACTTGCTTGAA